ATACGAGCTAAAAGACACAAATGCTATTACAAATGACAATAAATGAGATCGCCACATATGATGGAAGTCCCTGAAAAAGGTTCAAAACTATAAATGTAATAAATCTAGTGGATTTAATTTGTACTTTTATTTCTTCTCTAGACTAGATTTATAATTCTAAGGTAACTTTAAGGTGTCATCGCCGGACTACTGGTACAACCGATCGGACCTCGGATAGCTGGATTCCTAGCATTTTGTTCATTGGTATTAGATGGATAGTTAGTTTCACCTCAACATCTATTCTTTATCTAGTTGTGCTGCTGGCCGTAACAATGGGTAAGATACTACTACTACTACTACTACTACTACTACTACTATTGCTGAATTAATACTACTACTAATAATGATGATGATAGCAATAATGCCGTGTCATATTTTAGCCTGTTGTCTCTATGTTGACAATATTAGTAATGACGACTTCAATAGATATGATCAATTTATTGATTTATTAGGTGTCAATTATAAGATACTTTATGAGATACATTTTAGTAGCATAGTTTGAGTTATGAGGAATAAATCACCAACACAAAACGAGTGCTTATTTTCCTTTTCTTTTCAACTTTACTTTCATAAGCACATCATATATTAATAAATCGCATGTATTGTTACGTATATGTAATTTAACTTGTGGGGTTAGTTTTACATTTTCTGATTTATTTACCTGTTAGAAATTACGACTAAGTCCTTCATGTTGACAGTGCCTGACTCTTAATGTCATCATTAGTTTCTATTATGAATGGCATTGACAATCAAGGATGCTGCTTCGAAAAGAATGGCATTGACAGTGATAGAATGTTTCATCCAAAAGAATGACATTGGCATATTAATGTCGACCATTAGCACGCCATTGACTGTTTCATCAAGAAAAATGGCATTGACAACTGTAGACTCTATCCATCGAAGAGAATTGCATTGGCAACGATAGACTGTTTTCATCCAAAAAAAATGGCATTGACAGCGGCTTATTTGTTTCCTCCTACAGAATAACGTTGACAGTTATTGACTGTTTTCATCCAAAAGAATGACATTGGCATATTACTTTCAACCATTAGCGTGACATTGATAGTTTCAGGCTTTTTTTAAGTCAAAACATATTTTTTATTGACAGTATCAGACTGGTTTCAACCTGAATAATTCTACTAACAGAATCATATTGGTTTCAGGCAATATAATAGTGTTGACATCGTCTGTATGTTTGGATCATAAATGGTACTGATTCTGTCTCATTGGATTCACCCTTGCGAATGGCATTGACAATGTCCAATAGGTTTCCGCCAATGTAATGGTACTGACAATGATGGATTGTTTCAGTCTTTATTCATCCTAATTCTTAGATTCATTTTAAAAGTTAGAATCCAGATGAACAGATGCATAGATCATTCTGATCTCTCCCAGTTTTTCTACCAAGTCGTCTCCTGTAGGCACAAAAAGCATTTGCTATGGGAAAAAAAAACTTATTATAAATTATTAACTATATTTGTCCAAGCATTTTGGACTGTATCGTTTATATTTGTTAGAACTACACATACGATTGTTGTTATACAAACGCAAGGTAGGAAGAGGAAGACGAGGATCGGAAGGTTAGCGATGTAAACAAAACTGATACATGCGAGGGTAAGTGTATGGGCAGAAAAGCACAAATACTATTACGAATGACAATAAATGATATCACCACTTAAGACTAAAGGAACATAAAAAGTTGTAAATATAATAAATCTAGTTGATTTCGTTATTTCATAGGTACTTTGTTTCTCTAGACTATGTTTTTACTTTCTATTGTAACTTTTGTTCCATTGCATTTTCAAGGTATCGTCACCGAACTGCTGCAGCAACGTATACGACCTCATAAAGCTGATGGTTTGTTGTACGGCATTGGGTGGATTGTAGCTTCTTCTCAACATCTAATCTTTTACTGATTGTTGTTGACCATGTTGGGTAAGACAATACTACTACTACTACTACTATTACTACTACTACTTCTACTACTACTACTACTACTACTATTACTAATAATAATAATAATAATGATAATAATAACAATGATACTACTACTACTACTACTACTACTACTTCTACTACTACTACTACTACTACTACTAATAATAATAATAATAATAATGATAATAATAATGATACTACTACTACTACTACTACTAATAATAATAATAATATTAATAATAATAATAATAATAATAATAATAATAATGATAATAGTAATAATAATAGTAATAATAATAATAATAATAATAATAATAATAATAATAATAATAATAATAATAATAATAATAATAATAATAATAATATCGTACTAGCAATAATATGTTAATACTATTTAGGCTGTTGACATGATTATTACAATTACGTTATTGAAAATGACTCAAGTTATGATCATTCCATTGATTTATTCGCTGTTCATTATAAGGTTCGCGGCATTTATTCAATTTAAGGTAGTGATAAAACATTTATGATCGACATTTTATATTGTAGTTTGAGGTATTATGAGCGGAAAATCGCCAGCAAGAAAAGAAGTGTATCTTTTTTATTTCTTTTATTGTTTGCTATGAAGCATATTATACAATAATATATCGTATGTATGACACATCAGCACGTTATTCATGCTTTCGTTATGTTACTCTTCATGTCATCATTAATTTATAATCCGATTGTCATTGAAAGCGGCATATTGTTTTCATCCAAAAGAATGACATTGACAGTGTTAGATTGTTTTTATCCAAAAGACATTGGCCATTGCATACTGAATTCAGCCATATGCATTGCATTGACAGTTTTAGGTTGCTCTAATGCACGAAAATAAGACTGAAAACGTAACATTTGGTTTAATAAATATATTGATATTTACAGCATTGGTTTCACAGACAGTGTCAGACTGGTTTCAACTAATATAATAGTGCTGACAATGAACTAATAATTTCTGACTATAAAATGGTACTGGGACTATATCTTTGGATTCAACCTTGAGACTGGCGTTGATAATAACAATGTGAGATTGTTTTAAATATTATTCAGATTAATTCTTAGATTTATTATAAAAGTTTGGACCCAGATGTACAGATGCATGGATAATTCTCATCTTCCTAGTTTTAATGTTAACTCTTCATCAGTGGGCACGAAAAGCATTTGCTACGATGAGAAACGTATTGCAACTTCTTTAATCTATTTTGCTGAACATTATGAAGTGTGTCATTAATATTTGTGAGAGTTATACGTACGTTTCTGTTTAATAAAAATACATAAAACCTTTCTATTTACAGGTATAGTATGTTCATTGGTTACTTTTGGTATCAGCAGAACCTTGAGTAATCATTTCCCTGGAAGGCCTGGACACATTTCACTTTCCGTACAAGCAACTGCTTCAGGTATAGGAAGGATATTGTTCTAATATGTTCAAAAAGAATGTGATAATACGTCTGGATTTTCTAAAAGGATGTATTAATATGTCTGGCGTTCGTAATTATCGAAGCTGCTATGCTTAACTTATCGGTTTTATAGATACTTTTGTATACCGAGTTGCCTATTCCACTGGAAACCCTGTAAGGTGTATGCAAGGAAACAAATAATAAACCGCAAAGAGTAGACCATAAGATTTCCTCATGAAATTGTGTCCACTTTTGACAAAGAAATTATTCCTCTTATTTGTCTTTGGTGTGAATTTTCTGACATGTCCCTCACTGCAGGTTTATTCTACTGTTTGCGGACATAACGAAAAGTCGAAGATTTACATCAGGGAACATTGTATTAGCATCCGTTATTCAGTATTAACATACGTTATTCAGTACTTGCAGAATAGTGGAAGACTATCATTTGGATTTCTAAACCAATTAGCAAGAGTTAAAATTTGGACCAAAGTTATCGCTTGCTCCATTTTAGGATTTAAAACGGATGTGAGAGTTACAGCAATGTATATTATTACTTTGAATATTATCGGCTCTGGTCATTTCCCTCTTGGACTTGGACTTGTATATACGACTATTGGAATCGGAAACGCGGTCATTGGTCCCATTTCTGGTAAGATGAAATAGAATACAACATAAATATGATTCTAAAAGAATATTAATTTATTATCAGATTGATATTGCTAGAAACCTCTTATAACATTTTACTATTTTGTTAATACCATTCTAACAGTTTTGCTGATCTTAAGAATAATGAACTCAAAGGTATAAAGAGCGCAGCAAAAATATTACAGAAGAGGCAGAATTGAATAGAGAATTGAATAGAGAACGGGCTTTTAACGTGTTCAACGGACATTGTTCGGTATTTATCGATAAGCAAGTTTAAACTATTCACTCACTAATTTATGAGTAAATAGGTCAAATATACACATCGATAAATAACAAGATATGGTAATTTAATCCTTATAATTCGAACTTACTTTATTTTTCTCATCGTGTCAAAAAGCGTTCACGTTTAGATAATATGCTACACTGAACATTTCTCACTAAGTACGCGCAATTTATAGAATTGTCATTCAGTCCGCACTTGTTATGAAAGGTTGGAGGACCCGAGATAAACGTTTGGTTTACCAGACACAAATATCTGTAGTATTAATTCTTTGTAATCTTTGTCTGAAACCATCCGATCTGAATGTAGGAGAAAACGAATTTGCGAATCGTCGTCTACTACGTAACTAAATTATCTGTACCACTTGCCTCGGACTATTACTCTCTCCATTTCTGATAAGTGTTTTGCAACTACTTTTGCAACATTGTTTTGCCCACTGCAACATAAAGTAGTGATATGAAAATTGTGATTTTATGCTTTTTTAAACCAACTTTTGTCTGATATGTATATGCTGTTATTGTCTGCACTGGTGCAACAAAAAGTTTGTTTTCAATCGGGAGAAATAATTTTCAACTGATACATACAAAATAACTGTTCACAAGCATCCACTAGGCCGTTAATTATTCTAAGTCCAGGTTTGCATTAATTCTTATGATACC